ACTAATAGCCCCGAGTTTCTCCATGCCTTTTCATGTTTCATTCACGTTTTGTGGTATACATAAAATCCTTCCAGGTCTGGTAGAATATCGGTTTAGCACCCATTTACCATGATTTTTGATTGTCCTTTATATAATTCTGCTTGTTTTATTGTCATTATTGCTTGATAGCATATATTTGTATCTTGGTCCAGTCACATTCCAGTGAGAGCAGTGAGAACGATTATATTATATCTACGCCTTCATTACCAACAATATCCAACAATAACAATATTCAAGGACGCAAAATTGTATAAGAAATTACAAAAATACCAATATACAGATCGTTATAGTAGTATGCTTAGAATCACAGATCAATCTTTAATTAGTTTGTCTATTTCAACGACAATTTTATGTTCTCTTGCTTCTCATACACATGTACGCTTGGTTCATCTCATATACAAACATTTTAGTCATGATTTGCCTGAACGTTTAACCTGCTGATGTCATCGATATGTAATATGTATGCAAATGACCAGCTACAAATTAAGATAAACAAATGCTGATGAACGTACTTGACCACATATATCACGTGGCATTGAACCCTACAAATGTTGTGTTATAGCTATCCTTGCAACGTGTACATCGGAAACAGGTATACGAAGGTAATTGTTTCCTGTGTCATAAAGATTATTTGCAAGATAAACGTCATACATGCATTAATGTGAACGTGTGCCCATACTGACTGCTATCTTAACGCACTTTGGTTAACGTTTGCGGCAAACTCGGTCGTCATTCCCACTCAGATTTGCATTAAATATTCCACGAGTCTAAATCTTTTAGAAAATTCATGTAATCCCAAGGTTGTGTTTTCTATTAACACTGCGAACACCCATCATTGAAATTACGTGATTCATCTCCGATAGATGGAACTTGAATGAATAATTAAATTTGCAATAGTACTGCGGTTACTATTACCTTGTGACTGCAAGCAATATTCTTAAAATGATTCTCCTGACATATCTAATATTTATTTATTTATTTATTTATTTATTTATTTATTTATTTATTTATTTATTTATTTATTTATTTATTTATTTATTTATTTATTTATTTATTTATTTATTTGTTTGTTTGTTTGTTTGTTTATACGTTCGTTCATTCATTCATTCATTCATTCATTCATGTGGAGGATTGTAGTTTTAGCGTATATGTAAACTCAAATATACGTTTGAAGTATACATATACATGTATTTAAGTTGATTTGGGTGTATTCAGTTACTCGGTCGACCTTGATGACTTACAGGAATGATCTGCAATCAAATATGTTCTCATCGTATCAAGTGAAAATACATGTTACACAGTTACGTGTTTACGCATGTCTAGTAATTGCGATTTGGTGGCAAGTCGAGACAACGATCACCACATTAACATGTGAACCGTTTACATCGTGTCAAGCTTGGTGTAGGAAAAGTAACCACAAACCGTTCCTTCCCGGATCCGGGGTAATGTCTTTTTGTATTCATGACACAGAGTTTGGAAATTAAATGCAGGCTGTTTGAACTTACGACCATACCGGTTTGATAATCCAAGACGGGTGTGTCTTTGAGACTTCACCTTACTGGAATACGTGTTTAATATCTTAGAAGGCAATGACTGTCTTCGAAACTTGATATCTGTAACATATTATCTTTTACACAGGTAATTAGTTTTGCACCTTCCAATTTAAAGTTCAAGTCCAATTTGAACTAATTACATTTCTCAAAGATTTCAGCCGCTTAATTGAACTACAAATGCCAGTAAGATCGTGTTCTCTACAATGCATAGTCTAATCGTATATCATCCTATCATCAGATGTCTTTGATTTCACAGTGAGGTTTTATTATTGAAACTGTTGTTCACGATTCCCCATCACCACACTATTCTTTCCACACACAAAATATCACCACGTTCGACAACCTGACAATGCTCCCTATACAAAATTATAGAATAGAATTCTTACCGTAAAGATAATGTGACATTTCTCTTTTGGTTAAGAATTTAATAGTTTTTATATAGTTGAGCGATCATAAAACTATCCGTGAATAGTAAAGGTGACACAATTTACAGTATGTAAGAAATCAATATGGCATGTGTTGTTTATTTATATCGGTAATGTATTCCTTATGTTGTAACACTGTTCAATGTACTTTATGGTTTCTTTAATTAGTGAAGTGTACTTATTACTCATTATTTGTATGAATTTTGTATAGTTTGTCTTGTCCTGGAATTCATCTATACAGGATTTGGCTGTTGCATATAGAATGTATCTGTTTGCATATCAGGTGCATTATGTTGTGAAATGATCTTCATCTTCAATTTTGGCAAGTTCTGCTTTGTAGTGGTAATTTAGGTTTTTAATGACGACCAGTTTCAATTTTCAGTTGTGGCAACTCATTCGAAATCTTGCAAATGCCCCTATTGCTTTTCTGTCAATGAGTTTTTGTATATAGGTTTCTTGTTGGATGTTATTTTTGAATAATTTAAAAATCTTTAGTTTTGAATCAGTACTGTTCATGTTTGACATCCATGTATTCATATCCTTACATAATTCTTGAAAGTGTTATTTTGTTGTTTGTATATCAACAGGTTAGCTGTATGTTTTTTTTCAGATCATGAAGTTTTGATAACCAGCTGTTTTCTGTATTGTATTCTCCATCTCTTTAGGCGCATAATATGCTATGTTGCTTTCATCAATGGATTTTAGGTGTTTATAGTATATGAGAGTTTTGTATTGAATGTTACATAACAGTGATAGTCGCCCTGTATCCATTCTAACAGCTATGTTACTGGTAGTGTTATTTACATTTACTATTTTTCTGTGCTAGTTTTATTCCATCTATTCCAGTTTGTGCATAGTCCACATATTTCTCCAGCATATGTTCAAATTGGCCGTTGAGTTGTTTCAAGTAATTTAGTTTTCAAATTTACATGGTTGTTGTTAGTACCACTGAAAAGATTGAGCCCTTTCAGTTTCCCTAGCCTTGTCAGATAGCCGTTACATTTTGGACCCATTGAACCATTTGTATTAAAAGTCCAAAAAATATACAATATATAATGTTGTTTTTTTCTAATTTCTCATTTCCAACTTTCTGTGTGATGTCCATTTCTTTGCAAATATAATTGATTTGGTCTTCTTAATTTTGATTTTTAATCCCCAGGTAGTTGTGGGTAGTATCCAATAGTTGACGTAGTCCTGATGCACTATTAGAAGTACAATATCATCTGCCTTTCTTGTTCAATGATGGTTGGTTTGATGGTTGTTTGTTTAATTTATCATTGATGTATATATTTAACAGTGTTGGGCTTAGTGGACAGCCTTGTTTCATTCCATTGTGTATATGGAATGGTGTTGTTATTCTGTCACCCAACTTTAGTTTGTATTTCTCATTGTTGAACATGCTTTCAATTATCTTATATAAGCTGACATTTATATTGTTGCTTTGTAGTTTGTACATCAATCCTTTGTTCCACACAGTATCAAAGCATTTCTTTAAATTGATAAAGCAGCACTATATTTTTTTCCCTTTTTCCTATTATTTTAATCATGGTATGTAGTGTGGTGACATGATCTGTTGTCCGTTGTTTGCTTCGGAAACCACCTTGATTTGGGTAAATAATATTGTTTTCATCTTCTGTCTAGTACTGCATTAAATAGTTTTCCAATGTTGCTGTCCACTTATACACTTCGGTGGTTGTTAGTGTTAAAATAATTACACTGTTTATGTATTGGTGTAGGAACTGTTTTGCTACCAGAGAGGAGCAGTTGCTAGTAGTGTAAAGCTGTTTTTCTACCAGAGAGGAGCAGTTGCTAGTAGCGTAAAGCTGTTTTGCTACCAGAGAGGAGTATTTGCTAGTAGCGTAAAGCTGTTTCGCTACTAGAGAGGAGTAGTTGCTAGTAGCGTAAAGCTGTTTCGCCACCAGAGAGGAGTATTAGCTAGTAGCGTAAAGCTGTTTTTCTACCAGAGAGGAGCAGTTGCTAGTAGTGTAAAGCTGTTTTTCTACCAGAGAGGAGCAGTTGCTAGTAGCGTAAAGCTGTTTTGCTACCAGAGAGGAGTA